TATATGGCTCAAAACTCTGCTGAGTGCATGCACAGAGTGCTACCAAACTGGGAACGTGCCGTCCTCATGCTGCAACCCTCACGTACAGACTTCTATTAGAAGCATATGGAATAGACATTTAAGTCCTGTGCTGGAGGAGATAAAACTGCATTACTCAAAAATACATGCTATAATGCCTTCGTGAACTCCAATCTGCTTTTGTGGCTATAAAATAAATCCAGTCTTAGGAACCCAGCATTAAATGGTATTATACTAATTATCCAGCTTCACACACATACGTAGTTTCTCCAAGTTTCCAGACTCGTGACTCAGTATTTATTTGCTCCTTTAAAAGCAAAGATATCCATTTTCATATTTCATGGAGATTTTCCTTACAACATAAGCCATTATCATGAAGTGAAAGCAGATCCAAATAATCTTATAAAACTAAAAGCATTTTATCAGGCTCTCTTCTGCACGACAGGCACAATTCCATCCAAACAGCAGGGGCTGGATGGTTAACAACCACCAGCTACAGCACTTGGTGCAAATGGACCAAAACCCTGAGAACAGCACATCCTGTGCCCTCATCATCACAGGCAAAGCCAGCAATCACCTTCTGGATGCAATAATGCAATCCACGAGGAGAGAGATGATTCAGTGCCCAGCAGCATCCCTCAAACACAGAACACGAGCAGTCCCACAGCCTGTGGTCACTGTGTGCTCTCTGAATGCTGCACCCCAGTCTTATAGAAATACTCATCTAAAAGATAACTTTCACTTCCAGCACAGCAAAATGTAAGTTTATTCTGAAAGTAACTAAGGCAAATGGGGTATGTGAGCCACAAAGCATGGGGTCATTCTTCCTACAGCATTACAATGGGTTGATCCCTGCAGTAAATCTACCTCTGCCTGTAGTTATTTGGTTAGAAACCACTTTGCTGTTCTAACATTCACACAAATCTTAAGACACGCGAAACCTGAGGAAAGATCTTAAGGTTTTGCGTTTTTTTTAAGGAAGAAAGGAAAATGAGAAGTGCACACCTTTCTCATTAAAAAAAGAAGGGGGAGGGGGAACAAAGCAGCAGCTCTGGTAACAGCACCGTATTTACTGTCGGTTCAACAACTTTGAATGGAAAGCGCAAATGCTTTGATAAAAATCAATTGAACTGCCTCAGTATCGGGTCAGTGAAGTGCCTCTGCATCCTTTGCTGAAACCCTGTGGGCTGCTGAAGCAATATTCCTCGTGAAATCACTGCCTGCTCTGAAAACAGGCTCCTAGGCAAGAGCCTGGACAAACGGCCCTCATTCAAACCCCATTTCTCCAACAGGAACCAAGGCGCAAGCCAGCATTTCCCGATCAACACCACCCTCACCCCAGAGGCCACGTTCATTTCTATCACTTTGTTAAAGATTAACTTGCAGGTCTCTGTGCAATTCAGGTCTGTTCAGGAGGCTGAGAGCCAACTGGAAGGCAGCTTTAGCAGCCCACGTGCCCATCACATGGAGCCATGAAGCAAACAAAGCACGTCTGTCTGTCCATCCACCTGCTCCTCCACCCATTGCACATCACACACAGCACTGCTGGGCTCAGCCCTGTGCACACAATGGGCTGGGAGGCGAGGAGTGAGCTTGGCTACACACACCTAAACACTCCCCTGAAATGTTCCCAAGGTCTCTGGGGTAACAACAAACAATTGATGTAACTGGGTTTACTCTTTCCTTACACATAAACCATGCAGCCTGTACCAAACCAGCAGTGTCAGGAGAAAAAAAAACAAGTTACCAGCATTGCACACTCTTGTAATTCATTCAGTTTAAATCATCGAAGAAGTTTGCACTAACCTACACTAAGGATATTTGCTCTGGCAACCTTGAATAGAGTGGTGACACTTTAAAGATGGCTGCCTCAAGAAAGGAAGATAAAAATGCAATTTATGGCAGGACGTTGTATCTCAAGGTAAATTCCTGCTACTGTGATTTGTGGCTTTCTCTGCAAGGCAGCCTCTCTCCAGATATCAAGCATTTTGTCTTCACAATTTAACTACACATCTTTCTCCGTTTTTCCCCCTCACTGGCAGGGACCTTCGCAGGGAGCTCCGTCAGGAAGCACTGACCTCAGGCTAAAGCAATGCTGCGAGGTGACACCGGAGAATTCTGCATCTCGTGGGACCTGGAAAAGCTTCACCCACTCACAAAGCCTTTGAGAAGTAGCTGATGGTGCTATGTAACCCCAGATGAGATTTTCAGCTTATGCATGAATATTGCTATTACCTCCCCTTCCTTCAACTAACAGGTAGAAAGCAATACGGCAAGAGCAGAATGGTGTTTAAGATCAGGAATGCTGCAACAGGTGCCTGCTTCAACTAACAGCTCTCCCAAAACAGCTTGGCAGGGACCCTGCTAGAGGCAAAGGATCAGCTCAGTCTCCACAGGTCAAAGAAAGCATTAGAGAGAAAAATTTAGTGAGGTTTGTCCTCGGTAGCTGCGCTGGTGTCTCACACAGGCAGTTTTATCAGCCAACCATGTTTATCAGCCAGCAGAAATCAGGTAGCTTTCAGAGACGTGGAACCTGGCTCCCATCTCTACTGGCACTTCAGATGCAAGAGACTCAATCCATCTCCATTACAAATCCTCTGAGCTCATCCTAGCATTACTTTCTCACGTTAAGCAAAAGAGTTAACATAAAAAGCCTGCCTGGCTTCAGACGTTATCCAGATAAAGAGAAAGAGGAAAAGAGAAAATCCCATATATTCCCTCTCTCAGCTCTCCCCAAACCTTCTCTGACATCCTTGCTCTTCCAGACCTGGCATTTATGCAGAGATGTTGCCCAGCCCTATGAAAATCTTCATGAGATGCTCTGCTACTTCCTGGTGCACTGATGGACCCACAGGACCCTCTGTGCTTCTTCCTTATGGTGAATGCTATGGTAAGTGCTGGGTCCTGCTTGAAAACATCATAACTGTATCTTACACAATATGTTTAAGTGGCAATACCAAATTTATTACCTTCTTTTAAAGAACAAAGAGATGTAAGTGAGAATTATGTCCTACAAGTTCATTGAAAAAAAAAAAAAAAAGCTGTGGCAACACTGGGCAAATAGCAGTGTCTGAGAACAAGGCATGCTTTTGTCTTTGCTGTTGTCTCAGAAAACTGGCAGTGATATGAGAAACAGAAAAAAAAAACTTCCAAAATAAAATTTGCAGCTCTGTCTTCCCCCAAGGGATGAAAAAAACATTAAATAGTAACTGAATTACGGAAGCTGTGCTCTGAGCCCCTCACACAGACCTAACCTGATCCTCCAATGCAGGATCCCTCTGAGCTCTGTGTCAAAAGCCTTTGTGTTGGCAATGTCTGCTCATTCAAAGAGAGCAAGGGGACATAAGAGCTGTGCAAACCTCGGCACTCCAGAGCTAGAAAGGCAAGAGGCTAGAAAAGCATATTCTACCATTAAAACCTCTCGACAGTAATTAAGTCCTAAGGAAGCCCCTTTAAACCACTTACTGATGCTAAAAGAATCTGACAATAAATAGATCAGAAATTATCACCCTCAGTTAACAGTGCTCAATGCAGAACGCTTCTCCAAGCAGCAAAGCAGCCAGCTGTCTTGGCAGATGTTATCAGGTGGCCAAGCACAACAATGCAAACTCACTTTAAAAATCATGGGCAACTTTCACTGTTCTCAATTTAATGCTCAAACTCTCAGCACTTTTCTGCTAAAAATACCAGCTAGATACATGGTCCATATAGTCTGACAAAGCAAGAGTCCAGCCGCCTTTGAAGCGTGTGAGACTCGCCCAGTTAAGGGCCTTGAGCTCTGCCATGGGCTGTCTGCACGCGTGGGTGCGGAGCTGCTAAAAAGGAACTTCTGGGTTTTGAGGCCTCGAGCAACTACTCAGCAGAATATTTCCACTTTAATTCCCAAACACACGAATCCCCCGTTATTTCATCAGTTAATGCTGAATAGCTATAGCCTATACATATTATGCTACGTATAACCACTAGGTAAGTCATCAGAATTACTGTTGTTTACAAAACAAATCACGGAAACTGGGAGTGTGGTTTCACCAGAGAGGGACTCCAATGCAAATGCATACAACTGAGCATTGCCTTGGCTCCTGGGACCACATGCAACGGTACCCATGCTGCAGGAATCCAAGCCAGTCTGCTCTTCTTTCCCACCACAATGTGGGGGAGCTTGTATTCCTTCAGGGTCTGTGAGAAGCAAGTGGGGAGCCATGACAGCCAGAGATGAGTGACACAGCCCTGCAGGAATGGAACTCAGGCCTTCTCCTGTGGCCCCGGCATCCCAGACCAGAACCAGACCTGCCACAGCTGAGCACAGATACACACGTAAGAGAGAAAGGGCACACACAGCAAGCACTTGGCAGGCCCTGCAGGGGGGGCACATTCCCAACAACCCGTCCAGCACCACCAAAGCACGAGCCCAAGCACAGTCCAAGCGCTGGGCTGAAAGGTGAGCGTGTGCACCTCTAACCCGCACCGCTCTCCCAGCACAGACACGGGAGCCGCAGCCCCTGGGGATGAAGGCAGCTGGGGCAGCACAGGGAACGCGCCCTCTGCCATCACCCACCCTGAAGCACTCCTTGCCCACATCCCACCCGAAGTCCCCACGACTCCCTGTGGGCCCACGGCCCTTCACGATCCCCAAAACCCCCACGAAGCCCTACAGCCCCTCGGAGCCTCCACGAAACACCGCGGCCCACACCGAGCCTTTCCAAATCCTCACAGCCCCATCAGCCCTCCCCCAATTCCAGACCCCCTCCGCAGCCCCCGGAGATCCACCGCCACTACAGAGACCCCCCAGCCGTTCCACAGACCGCACCCCGCGCCCCTCCCGGCGCCTCCCGGCCCCCAGACCCCCCCGCAGGCCGCCGCCGCCCCCTCCGCGCCTTTCAGTTCAAACCCACAGCCCGAAGGACCCCGCTCCCCGGAAGCCCCCAGCCCCTCCGGTGGCCTCGCCGGCCCTGAAGGCTTTACGAAGCCCCGCCGCTCCTTACCGAGGCTCTGCCCCACCGGGGTGCTGAACGGGTTCCCCAGCAGAAACTCCATCTTGGGATGACAACAAACAGCGGCCCGGCAGCCCTCCCTCCTCCTCCCCCACCCCGCCCTGACTGGCAACCACCAGCACCAACCGTCGCTCGCTTTGCCGGGCGTGGCCCGCCTCCTTGCAGCCCATTGGGCTGCGCTCGCAGGTTCCCTGATGCCATAGGTTCAAGAGCGTGCCCATCACTGTCAAGCGACGGGCCCGCCCCCTCAGTAGTTCCGTGCCTTGCCACGCCCTCCGGTTGATGGACAGGAGAGATACCGTTAGAGGCGCACTCCATTGGGCAACGGTCGGAAAATTCTGCAATATTAATGGGCAAGCAGACCGTCGATCATACGCACCTCCTCCCGCCCGCAAGGCACGGTTGGAGCGCTGATTGGCTGACACGATTTTCTCGGGCTCTGATTAGCAGCCAACCTTCCCACCCCCTCTCAGCGCATTGGCGGCCGAGCTCGTCACGTGACATCCCTTAGCAACGCGCTCGGGCTTCCTTAGCAACCCCCCAGGCTCGGGGCTGAGGCGCAGGCGGGCGGCGGGCCGGTAAGCGGCGCGGGCCGGGCTACGGGGCAGCACTGCGGATCTGCAAATGACAAAGCCAGGACAGAAAGGTGGGAATTCCGCTAAGTGAAGGTGTTTGCACCTATATAGGCTTTATGGTTGGTCTGCGTTAAGGGCCTTCTTCAGAAAATCGCTGTTACTGTTTATGAATCTTCCTTCTTCCTCAAAATTCCCTTTACTTCTATTACAAAAATGATGTCCGAAATTTATGAAGCACCACTGGTAATTTCTGTATGCTGTAAATACACTCTTGTCCTGTAAATCAAACCTGCCTATGACAGCAAGCTTAGTTCTTAAAGGAACAGGCACTCCACACGAGGAGGATCTCAGCAGTGGGGATCGCCATGGCTGCTTGTAGGCCTCCCCCCCCTGCTCCCTTTAACTGGCCTCACTGACAGCCTCAAACTCTCAGACATGGTGTGGAGGCTGTGCTTAGAGTCACATCAATGGTTTTGCAACCCAGCTCACAGCAGCGGGTTGTGGCTCAGTGATCTTCAGGATCCCTTTCCACCCAAGCCACTCGATGATTCTATGCAAGTTGAATACATCTTCAACATCATCTATGAGGTGTTAGATCTTAATACTATACTGTGTTCTTAATCCCCTGGAACTGTCATGCCAGTTCAATGAAAGTTGGAAATAGTAGCCAGGCAGTAGCTTTATTATTATTGCTTTTTCTTTTCTGTCTATTAAGGCTGATATCCTCTAAAAATGAGTCAGTCAGACAACAGCTTTGAGCCAAATGTTATTGACGATGAAATGCTTCAGAAAGCAGTTGAAGAGCAATTGCCGGAGGACATAAGGAAGCTTGCCAAAGCAGAAGGTATTAACTTTAAAGAGGTGGTGGAGCTACAGCTTAGTTTTAGAAGTGAGTATCAGAACACATATATTTATTGGAGGATAAATGAAATAAGCATTAATTGGCAACAATAATGATCATCTTAGGCTTTTAGTCATGCCTGGAAGCAGCAGTTTCAGTTGAGCAGTCTGGGTGGTATTGCTGATGGATGGCTTTAAAGCTGCTTAGCTTTATGCTATTATTGTCAGCGTTGTTCTTATTTAACATTTATATTGTGGTGACACCTACAGGCCACAGGCCTATTGGGCCCTCCTGTACATGGACAAATCAAATCCTGGGCAGGCACGGCCATCAGTGGTGATTATCCAAGAGCTGTTGTTAGAATGTGGTGATTACAGTCCAGTTTGGTGGCTTCTTCTGATCCATAGCATCACCACAGCTTGTCTCTTACTGCCAAACCAGTCATAAGCTCGCATTCAAAGAAGAAGGAAGAACATTTGGTTCCGTATTTGAATATTTTGGACAAAATCAGATAATTCATTGTGTGGTCTGGAGGATTAGTTCCTTAGAACACACTTCCAATTACCTGATCCTGCATGTATTTGTTTGCAAATACAGAACAAAGAACTGTGTCAATATTTTGTATGTGCAGCTCATTGCATTACAGTGCATTCACTAAACAGCAATAGCACTGAATGCAATCTTCTGGGAAGCCATTGGAGGACAAAAAAGAATTGGGTGTAAGAGTGTTCTGTGTTTTCTGTCACCTTGGTCCTAATGCTTTGCTGTAATACCTAACAGCCTGTCCTTGTGATTCTGTTTTTGGAAGAAGCTAAATGCAGCCATATTGATTAGTGCTAAACTGCAACCTTTGCGGAAACAGTAGACCTCAACTTGTTCTCCTGTGATGAGAATCCTGAGAGCAGGAAAGTAACTTTCAAAAGAAGTAACTGGCCACGAGTAGCCTGCAAATGCAGGGAAAAGCAAGAGTTTCATTCCAAACCTCATTTGCAGAGCTGGAAGGGAAAATGAAAGTCAAGGCCTCTGAACAGTGGATTCATAAAGCCACTGTTGGCTGCAGCCAACTCCCCCTCAGTGACTCGTTGGCTTCGCTGATGAGCACTGTGGGGATGGGATGCTGAGGTTAACTGGGCTGTTTCACTAAAATTGCTTTCAGCCAGTGAACCACTCTGCTCTCTAGGGCAGTCGTCACACTTCATATAATCTGCTAAAAAACATTTTGGAAGAAAGACTGGATATTTCTCCTTCCGCTAAACTGAAAGCTGACTCAGATGAAAAGAAAATTTCTGTCTTTATTTATTTTCCCGTGCCCTTAGATATCCTGCAGATTGATAATCTGTGGCAATTTGAGAATCTTACTAAGCTGCAGCTGGACAACAACATCATTGAGAAGATAGAAAGTCTGGAGAGTCTGGTTCACCTTGTGTGGCTTGGTAAGATAAGGCACATGGGGCTGGATGCCTTCTCAGGTGCAAAGCAATCTGCAATAGAGCTGGGATGTCACATTCCTTCTCAAACACGACTGATAGGAGCTTTCTCAGGGAAGCCTGTCAGCTGTCTGTGTGTTTCCTCATTTGACTGTCAAACGTCGAAAGGCATGAATATCAGTACTGCAAAGCAATCCTTAAATGTTTAAAAACCTGGCTTTAATGAATTTGGTGTGGCAGGAACAGGAAGCTGAGATTTCAAGGCTGTTTCCAGGCTTTTTACTCATATGTAGAGGTGACTTTCAGAAATACTGATGTAAACTCCGTGATTTAGAAACCTTTGTTCTGTTTATAAAGGTAATGCAAGTATTTTGGAACTTAGAATCCCCGAAAGAAGGCGGTGTGTTTACCCCTACATGCTTAAAGGCTCGTCATTTTTCTTGTGCTAAGCAGTGGGACTGCTTTCAGTCGAAAACTCAGGATACGGATGGCAGCACCATGCAGCGGTGCAGGTTCTGATGCTGGGCATACCAGTGGCTGCTGCTCCTGATTCACAGCTTACAGCATTCTCTGGTAACTGCAGCCACCTTATTGGGTGGCAGCGTAAATATATCCTCGTTTGCTGCTGAAAATAGCATGCGAGGCTTTGGTTCATAACACATCTCAGAATGCCTAAATGAGTCCTTCCGCTCCGCTGTCTGCGCTGCGCGGATGACTGACGCGCCTGTGAATCGCAGCAGATCACCACTGTGGGAGCAGTTTTTTGCAGCACACTCAGGCACTGCAGTTTGCCCAGAGGTTCTGGTGGTTCAGCGGCTGCTGCGTGCCCCTGTCAGCTGCCCAGGGGCCGGGCTGACAGCCACAGCTGTAACCACATCAGCTGCCTTTGGAATCGTGGAGCGCTCAGCTCCAGCCTGAGTGTCAACACTGCCCTTAATGGTGGTGAACGTAGGGGTTAGCCTAGATGTTTTGGCAGGATGGGATGAAGAAATACTAAGAGTGAAGTAGCTACAGTGAGTATGTGCCTTTGCATATCTTCATTGACAACAGGGTGGTGGTGAGCATGGAGCTGACATTTGCTGGTCCTGTAAAAGTCACTGTGATGACAAGCTCTAATGCAGCAGGCAAGAGTCTGCAAGAAACAATGCGGAGAACCCCAAATTCATCACAGAAATGCTCACTTTTCAGGGCATCTCTTTTCTTGTAGCTTGGCTGAACTCATTTTGAGGCCATGGGTGTGGACTCTGCGTGGAATGTCTTCAGCCATTCCTCTCATACACGTGTTACAGTTGTAAGGAGATGTGTACATTGTTTCCTGACCCAGAAAATGGTGATTTCATGGCCTTTCATGTGGGACACTGAGCCCCCCTGAGGAAAATAGTGTGTATGAACTTCTAAATCAAGACTCAGGCTAGATGCAAGATCTGAGTTGTGGTGTTCTGCTAGAAATAATTTAGCTTGCTTATACAAGTTCCAATTTCTGAACTCTTCCCCAGACCTGTCCTTCAACAACATTGAAGTAATTGAGGGCCTGGATACCCTTGTCAAACTGCAGGACCTAAGCCTCTACAACAACAGAATATCTAAAATTGAGCACATGGACACATTGCAAAAGCTACAGATTTTCTCCATTGGAAAGAATAACCTGACCAGTTTGGAAAATGTGAGTGCTCCCTGGCTTTGGAATTGCTCCCCATCAAAGGATCAAATGTTCTAGATCTGACATTTACCACTACCTCCCTTTGAGGAGAATTTTTTCCTTAGGATTTCATTTCCTCTGAAGCCTAAATTATGATTTAGGTAAGCTATCTAGCTGCTAAGTGCTTATTTCAGCTATTTCTCTGTTAGGTTACTCACTCATGAGATCTTCATTTTGCTACTGCTGTCATCTGTGGCAAAATTCCTATTGGTTCTCATGAGAGGAATAAATAGCTACACATGAGGAAAAGAGGGAGTGGGGACTAGGATATATCTGGGGTTCTCTAGGATATATTTTGGGGTAGTTTACCAGCCTAACACCCTGATTTGTCCACCACCCAGCTAAAGGCCATCTGTCCATTTCCATCATTTACACAGTCATGATGTGAATTTAGGTATTTTCTTTCCCCAAAGCATTAAAAACTTCTAATTTAACTTGCATGTGTTTGGCAGCTGAGCACAACATGTACCACAGCGTAATTGTGCAACCCATGAGCAATGAATTTCAAGCCCAGCTGTCTCCACAGCCCTGGTAAGCACAGCATCTCTTTCCTCTCCTCACAGGTGGTCTATCTTAGGAGGTTTAAGAACTTAAACACACTGAATCTCACTGGGAATCCTTTCTGTGATGAAGAGCAGTATATGCTGTTTGTTGTTGCTCACCTTCCAGGCTTGGTATACTTGGACTTCAAACTCGTGAGTGACACCACAGTAAGTATTTCTGCATCTTCTTGTGAAATTGGGCATGAGTTCCTTACAGAGCACTGCCTTTGTTGATATGCTCACAATGTTCTAGCACTTGGGCTTATTCCCTGCAGAAATTAGACCTATGGAAATGCACAGTATTTGTTCCATCTCCACCTAACAGCTGTGAACCTGTAGGCCAAATTCTGTCAAATTTGGCAGAGGTAGAGATGTCAAAGGTATTATGCCTTCACAGGTTTTGTGATAGTCAGCAGCTGTGTGTGGGAGAGGAGCCTGCTTAATTTTGCCACAGAGATGCTGCGGTGTGAGTGCAAGACTACATAGAGATCAGGGAATCACAGAGAGAGAATCTCAGAAGAGATCAGTCTTGAGACACGAATCCAGAGGAAAGCAGGCTTGGTGGTCCTGCTGCTCACTGAGCTATTTCTTTCAGTAGCAGACTGACACATTAACCAGGCAAGCGAGTGCCATCCAAATGCATTTCCCTTTCCTGATTTTTGAAAGCAAGGCCATACAAGCACTGCTAACCCATGGCTCTGCTTTCTGACCCCAAGCTCATTTTTTTCTTAATAATCAAAGAATATGTTTCATTTTAAACTTGCTTGGCACAGAACAGGAGCCGTTCTTGGAGTATACATTGCTCTCACCAGAGGACTGGAAGGGCTTTCCAGGTCACGAGTCCAGTCCCTGCTCATAGACAGTATGTCATTGAATTGCATGCTTAAATTTGTCCCGCTTCAGTTGCGAGCTAATTAGGTTCTTGCCCCTGCTACTACATTGCCATCCCTTCAGAAAAAACATCTTTTCCCCAGAAATGTTAAACTCAGTAGCCGATCCATTCAGAGCTCAAATTCAAAGCAGTACAGGGCCTCCTGCTAAAACAAACAGAAAAACAGTGCTAAAGATGAAGGAATTGGGAGAGTGAATGCTGCTTGGGACTGAATCGGCTCAGATACAGTAGGTGAAGAGGCAGAGAAATGTGACAACGAAATGAGGAATGGATTAGAAACTTTATAAGTAGTTTAATCAAAAGATCACAAAGAAAGGAGATGCGGATATCATTCAGGTGCACCTTCTGGAAAGGTGGAATGCTTACACTTAGATTTGTTGGGCACTGCTGGGTAGTCTAATAATGTTTCTTTGCTTTTCTCAGCGAGAAGTTGCCATTTCAAATTACCAGTACCTCACTGACCTGCTGGACCACGAGGAAGCCCAGGCCCTAGCTCAGCTGGAGGAAAAGCAGGCACAGCAGAAGGAGCTGGAGTACCACAAGGTGCTTGTTCTTTGGTTGGTTGTGTGCTGCCTTGGGAGGAAGAAGTGCAGCAGATATTGACTTCTCCTTCAGATGTTTGAAGCTCTAATGAGAGGTTAACACTGGCTGTGCTAACACTAAGGCTAGGATTAGTGTCTGATTTTTGAATCTCGTATTTTCATTCTCGAATGAAGACAGGAACTGCTGTGGAATACATATGATGTGGGGGAACATATTTATTTTGGCTGAATGATCAGGCTGCAGATATAGACCTTTAGAAGCTATATAGTAAATTGTGCCCAAGGATCTTATCAGCCTAATGTGAGATTAAGAAAATTACGCCTCTGAGGGAACTGCTAATATTTTCATGGTGCAGTAACTTCTTTTCTCCTTCACACCAAATTGATGCTTTGTATTAGTTTTATGGTTAAACTGTTCAGGGCTTTGACATCGCCGTAGTTCCATGAGCAGCCTGAAAACCAGGCTAGGCAGAATGGTGATTTCAGCCACAATATGGCTCTGTGCTCCAGCCCTCTGGAAGACCAGGCTGGCTGAAGAGCAGGAGGAGGTTAAGTGACAGGAAGGACACCTGCAGCTCTTCCTTCTGACCCTCCTCCAAGTCCACTCACTTTTTATCAGTGAGGCTGAATAGCCTTGTAACATATGGTTGTATGTGAAAATGCTTTATGTAAGATTAAAAGTGTTTTCTGTCCTTAGGCTAGAGAGTTCTAGCAGTAAATCCACATGTGAACCAGGATGGGTTTCACTCCAGTTGCAGGATGCTTTCATGACCTGGCTGGTACATGCATTGTGGAGGTGTAATTGTGTCTGTGCAGATCGTTACTTGCACGGCACACCAGTGCTCCTCTGCTTGCAAAGAGCTTCTAGGAGAGAGGCATCCTAAGGAATGGCAGCAGGTTGGCACTCTTCATTTCACTTAAATCATTCTTATTCTCTTCAAAGACAGCCTTTGTTGAGTACCTGAATGGATCATTCCTGTTTGACAGCTTGTATGCAGAGGATACAGAAGCTGCCAAACTGGCTTACCTCCCTGGAGTGGATGACCTGCTGCAAGCATATCCTTCCCGGGTTTAAAAAACCTACAGCTAAAACCTAATGACTTGAGTTAAGAAGGAGGTGCATCCACAGGGACTCTTCATCCCTTGCTTTTGTCCAGGACTGAAAGCTCACATTGATCTGAGATCTGAGGCTTTCTGTGTTCAAATTAGGAACAGTGCCAGAAAAACACTGCAAGACCATGAGACCACTGACAGCTTTAAGGCCTGATATCTCATGAAATATGAGGGCTACAAACAAACGGTTTGTATTACTGGCAAGCTGGCCAGCGCAGCTTGAAACAACCTATTTGTATAACCACTCACTTCCATCACCAACAGGTCGTGAGATTCCAGTGTTTCAAATTCTCACTGTTGTAATTACCATATTCCCTTTCCACCGCCAGAATCAAACATATTTTCAGCAGCCCTCTTTCCTGACCCTTCAAGAATCAAGGCTTTGTACAGCCTTTAAGTCTGGAATCCACTTAAGGTTTAAAATGAGCCGTAAGATAAATCTCTGTCAGTTAGATTGCAAGAGCGCAGCCGCTAAAATCATGTTGAAATTGAAGTGGTAGGAGATAGGAACAGACTAATCAGAATGATATGAGTCACATATCTCACAACCTGCCAGAGCTGGCAACGTGAAGTTTTCAGGCCAGCACTTTTTTCTGATCATTGCTGCTATACGGGGCATCAGAAAGCAGACACTTTTATTTTTTTCTTTTCTCATTCAGATTAATAGAGCATTGTCAAGGCCAGTAACTTGACCTTCCTTAAAATTGCATTGCTCTGTTGGGGAAAAATGCATCACGGCTTAACTACGATAGACTCTAGAAACAATTCCATTGTCAAGATAATAGCAGAAGAAAAATTGGCGTTATTTTTGTGATGCTACCAAGTCAGTAGTTTATTCTGCACCCTGGCTGTAAGCTCTGGAGCTGTATTTATTAACTACACAGACACTGTATTCACACTTGTGAAGACGGATAGGGTTGTATGCTTCATTCTCCTGCTTTGAAAAGAGTCAGAGAAGCATATGTATTTCCTTTTTGTCCTCAAGGCCTTTTCTCCTCAAGCTGCCACATCCTTCTCTGTACCCTTAAGGTAGCAAAATCCTATGCATAGAATGTGAACAGGTGACCCTGTCCTGCTCAGACAAAATGCTTGGCAGCCTGCTGCCAGCAAGAACCACCGAGTTTGACATAACGGCAGCTTGTAACTCCTGCTTGAATTTGCAGAGCTAGAAGGAACATAACGTGTTGCTCCACTGAACAAACAAAATACCTTGACTCTGGTGTCACATACAGGAAAGATTTTGTCTCCGTTTGTGAGAACCTGTTTAACTACTGTCTGAAAGAGCATGAAAACCGAGAAGCTGAAGTCTCTGATTTCTATGAAGGCCTCCGCAAAGTGTTGACAGCCAACCAAGAAGAAGGCAGGAGAATAATCCTAGACTTTGAAAATCAGAACAAAACGGTAATTTTCCTTATGCTTCTTTTAGTTTGATACATCACATAGCAGCTTTCAGTTTCACTTTGGATGAGGGTAATTCCGTTAACATTAGGATAGTGAACCCAGATTTACACCGCAGTCGTGATATGATCCCTAATTGCAGAGTCACAGAATAGCTGAGGTTGGAGTGGAGCTCTGGAGGACACCCGGTCCCCCTGTTAAAGCAGGGCTGTGTGCATCAGGCCACCCAAGGCCACATCCACGTGGCTTGTATCTCCAGGAATGGCCACTCCACAGCTTCTCTGGGCAACTGGTTCCAGCACTCAGTCTCTGATCTTTCTTTGTTTTTCTGCAGTGTTAATCTGTACCGAGAAATGATGTCAGCGAGCATTAACTAACATGATATTTTAGTGCTCCATATAGGAAGAAGATTTGAGGTTTGAAGTTTCAGCCCTTTTGTCAAAGCACAGCCAACTAACACTGACAGCTTTTATCTATACTTGACGTGGAAATTTAGTGTAGGAGAAAATTAATATGCCATGGTGTTGTCTCATTGTCCATGAAGGTAAAGTTCTTCAAGGTGCTGCAGGGGAAAAAAAGAAATAAATAAATAAAAGGAGATTGCAGGTTATTCAGTTCGTTTTCAAGTCATTTTCTCATTCAGTTCATCTCGTCAACAACAGCTCAAAGAACTGTAACGGAAGAATCAGGTACAGCCATTGTAATGTATTTCTAGTCTGTTATTTTTAAAGCAGAAACAATCTTTTTTTTTACCTTTTACTCAACTACAGTCATCCATTGTGGCTGCTAAGGGCATCGCTTCTAGCAGGATCCCTGTCTAACCGTGTGTAATAGATGGGTCATTATTTTGTATCTGCAGAAAAAAAGTCAGGGGGGGGCTAAAGCCTGGTAAACCTGTCAGCTGAGCAGAGCGAGTCCCTGACAACTGACACTGCATGGAGTCACGAGCACCTGCTCTTTGAAATCCAGGTCGCTTTGATTGAGGTGCCGTGTCACCAGCTGGCAGCCTGTTGAGTCACCCCGTCCCCAGGTCCTTGGACTTTGCTGATTCATGCCAGCAAACAGCTCTGGCAACTCCAGCTGGGATGTGAGCTTGCAGGCTTACCAGAAAGCATCAGATAAAGGCTGATATTTATACTCAGCTACTTGATTCTCAGTATAAGCTCTGTAAAAAATGCGTGGCTTTGATAGTTCATCTGGGAGGCTGCAGCCTCAGCAATGGATTGACCTGCAGTGGATTGAACAGGACACAATGGTTAGTGTGACAATTTGCACGTAAATGCTGGGATAGTCAGCATCCAAACAGTCATTTAAAGTTGATTGGGAAGTTCAAAATGTAACGCTGATGGAGATGTTAACAAATCACAGGGGTCCTAGCAGGCTGAAATCTGAAACCATTCTTAAGGTGTGATTGCCTAGCTGTCATCTTTTCCTGCAAGCTTGGGCTACCTGTAAAATAACACCTCTCTCTGAAGTTGCTTGAGGAGCAAAGAAGCTTTAAGGGCCTTGAGCTCTGAAGTTATTGCTTCCACAGCTGTGGCTTGAATGGCTGGGGAGGTTTTGGAGACGTCCTGACTCACACCTTGCACTCTCCTTCTCCACATTTACCACTGCAAAATTTGGGCAGCGTAGTCTGTTTTCAGACAAGTCTTCACAGTTGTTGTGGCTAGAATTCGCTATTTTAGCCCATTACATTTCCTCTCAAGAGAATTGGATTAGACATCTTAGAACGTGTATTTCTTTCCTCCTATTAACATTTGATTGTTAACTTGCTTTGAACAGACTTCAAAATAATACATTGCTGAGCACAAGAGGATTTCTTTTTGATCTGAGAAGTAATAAATCTTGTCTGATACAAAACTGACGTCAATATTTAATTCTGAAGGGCGATAAATCCTTGCTGTAAGAAGGAATCAGGCAATGATAGGTATTCCATATTCGGAATACTGAATCCTGCCCCTGTGGTAGTCAGCCAAGATTCCCCTTGACAGGAAAGGGATCAGGATTTAGATGTGCCGTTCTTTCTAAGAGTAATTGTTAATCTCTTCTTCATCACCAGCAATGTCAAGAATCCTATATATATATGTATATGTATATTTACTTGAAATGCGTCAGAAGAGGAGCCAAAGTTGGAAGGATAGAAGGGTCAAAGTCATCGGGCACTGGGAGATGAGATTTCTCGCCAGTATCACTGCATTGCATGGGATCGTTTACATAGCAGCATACCTCAGCACTGTTACTTCCCAGTATGTAAATCCAGAGACTCACTGAATCAGCACGTTTCATTTCTGCTCATCAGCAGCAGGAACTTTTCTCACATATGTAACAAGTTAATTAAATTGCAATGGAGTGCTGAACACCAACTATAAGTAATTTATGTGTCTCTGTGTTTAGAAGCTGGATGAGATCCATCATGCCAGGAGTCACGACACTGCTGAGTCTATGCGAGCTGAGTACAACGAGGACATCCTTCAGCTGTCAGAAACACTCATGACCTTGGAAATGCAGATGGTGGACCAGCTGGAGGTAAGGCTCAGGCTCATACCTGTACAGCCTCCCATCCAGGATGCAGGGGCATTCATTTTGCTGTTGCTGCATGCCTCTGCATTGTAGCCCATTGCATAAGGAAGAGCACACAGTTCTTCCAGTCAGGCTCCTGTTGTCTCCAGCTAGCCTTCCTCTGCTCAAGGTTGAAATGGGTGAGATCAAGCCCTGGACATTGATACGCTGCAATGGATTCCTGTTTCTCAGAGCAGAGCGCAGTGTTTTCTTCACATCTATCCAAGCTGATTTCCAAAGCTTTAAAAAAAGGGACTTGAGGTTGTTCAGTCATTATATAGGTCTGCGTACAGAACTCTCTGCATGGTATGGGATATGCATTTGGCATTCTGGAAGTGTAATTCTTTGAAGCTGAACCTCACCATGAATAAGATTACACACGTTCCTGCTCAGCTTAATGCATTTGCTTGCATAATACCTGCCTCTTTTCTCCTCACTTTTCCTTGAAAACTAGGGCAGGGCTCCTAATGTGTGTCCTCATTTAAAACCAAAAACAAAACCTAATCTGTTATAAACTAGCAGGCAGGGTCTGCGGCCCATATGCAAGATGCAGCAGTTTACTGCTGTGAATGTGCAGGACAGAAAGCAGGAGCTCAAAATGGATTCCCTACTGCATCGTGACTGTGCCTTTTGATGTTTCCTGAATTGGCCCTAATATATCTGCAGTCACTCAAGGAAAGATCAGAGACATTCCTTTGTGCATGCCCTTCTGGAATTGCAGGATTTGGGTGGTTGTGTTTGAAGTGTTACATCAAGACATTAAGTGCAACACTTAACAGATTCCCCATCAGCCATTTTTGAGAGAGGCACTAGGCAGCAGCAATTTTCATTTCTGAGGACTAAAACAAAAGCTGCAGTAAGCCCAGGCATTGCTTACACTTCTCACAAAGAGGCTTTTCATACACACAAGGAGAATGCAGGAGTACAGCACACTGTGCATTCAGTGAGAATACAAAGGGACGGGATGGCTCCAGAGACCAGGTAAGCATCGCTCAACCAGCTTCTCCCCAGTAAGCTGATTCTGATTTTCTGTCCCTGAATGAGGAAATAAACTCAGCGCTTTCAAACCATTTCCATGCTTTAGGTAGGTCATTTTCTGACTGTGCAGCAGCGAGTCCAAATTATAATCAATTTTAGGTTCTTCCTAGATTCCTTTTATGTTCATGAAAGCGTTCATTGTAACATTTCCTCTTTTTCTTTCCATTAAGGAACTGATAAAGGAATTTGAAGGAAACATTGCTGTCATTGCATCAACGTTCACTGAAAATGTTAAAGGCATATATCCTTTTTACAGCATGTTGGCATGGATCTCTGTGCGAGGTGCATATACTTCAATCCTAAATCTATAACTGAGCCATTGAAATAGAATTGGGCTATTTTTTGTCAACAGAAAATGCATTTTCCCAGCTTTGTGGGAATGGCCATTTAAGGTGCTCCAAGTCTTTCTGTGGAAAATACAGAAAGCACAAAGGGCTCTGGCTGAGTTCTCACATATGGAAAGTCTCTAGGACTTTTACAGCTTTCTCCCTCCCAGGGATCTTGCTTTTTTCTTGAGCATGCATGGCACAACTCCTGGCAGATCCAGCTAGCATGTTTTCCATATGTATTCTTGCTTCTTTGAATGGGCTTCATTTTCGTGTTACTGATGTTTTCTGGAACAATGTGAGATAAGAGCAGCAAAGCACTCCTGTGGCAGATTACGTATATAAATCTGTGGCTTGGTGCAAATAATTGGCATATTCAGAGCTCAGCTTCCATCCTGTGAGGCCTCCCTCAGCTTCCTCAGCAAACCAAGGCACACTCTTAGTTCTGTGTAATGGCAGTGAGAATGAGACCTGATGTGAGCTGTGGTTAAGAGCAGAAAGTGCAAATCCTGACATCCTGGCAGCAGCAAGGCTGTTTCCCGAGGCCTGCTGTGAGGACATGGGACACCAGAGTGCTTTTCTGCTCGCCTGCATCAGGGCTGGCAGCCCTCTTTGGAGCACGTCCTCTGCAGCTCTTTCTGAGCCTCAGCCTCCTGTTACAGGAGGTCCAGTTTTATTTCTAGAAGTGAACGGTGTGCTCAGCCTTTTCCTTAACCATCTTCTGTACGATGACACAGTGCCGGGACCTCGAAAACCGTCACCATGAGAAGCTGCTAGAGATCTCCATCAGTGCTCTGGAGAAATCACTTAACAATGAGCTCGATGAGGAATTGCCAGATGATGTTCGTGAGGTGAGGACAGCAGAAAATTCACCCCCTCTGTGGGGGTGATGGGAAGAGGAGGAGGCCGCAGCCTCTGCTTGGCAGGGACAGGATTTCCAGGAGGCTCAGTGCAGCTACAGCTGTGTCTGACCAGAGCATGGCTGAACTGCAGCACTGCTGGGCATCTCTGCTGGGTGGGATGGAGATGACTGCACTGCAGGTTTCCCTGGGCTCTGCAAGAGCTGGTGGCAGCAGCCCAAGAGCGGTGCTGAGCAAATTTCTCTCTTGCCTCCAGCACAGCTCACTTCACTGGCTGATTTTCAAGCCCCAGCCCAGCAGGCACTCAGGCAGCTTCTCTGCTGCACTTGCATCTGGTTTTGTTCCGGTTCTGCCTGCTCCCCACAGGCAAACCTAAACACTGCTCTGATTTCTTTGTGCTGGGGCTGTTTGCATCAGTGATCTCGGGAGCCCTCCTGGGAGCTCTCCTGCCCATTAGCTGTTCTGGAGACAGGACACGGCTTTCCAAATGCACCTTCCACTGCAGCCCCAGTCTTGCTCTGATACTGAAGATCCCAGGAGCCTTTCAGAAAGCGCAGAGATTGTTGCAATGCTCCAGTCAGCAACGCTGCTGACCTTTTCGCCTCCGTTATTCCTTCACTTAGTGGTTAATTGACTTGAGTTTTGCATTTGCTGTGTTTTCGCTCTGTCCAGATTATCCCAGCTCCCCATTACTCTGGGTAATCAAGAGCTGACAGACACAGACCAGACCCCTCAGCCCCCCGGGGGAGCTCCCTGCTTTATGGGCTGTGCAGATGGCTGCAGTTACGCACCGTTGCTGTGCACCCATTTTGCCTCACTGCCATCCATTTCCACGGAGAAGCAATCTTCATTTGTTCAATATAGCTGCACTTGGCTGCAGGAGGAGACTCATTATGTTTTAGCACAGCCACCCTCTATTCAGAGCCATGGGGGAAGTCACTGCCTCGATTAGAAGCTAAGGCTCTCCAAGATGAAGATTTACAGCCAGTGCTACCAGTGCGAGAGACCCTTTCAAATGTGATTTTCCACTTCCCGCACCTGCTGGGACAGGCGAGCTGCAGCATATGCAGCCTTGCTTCAACAGCAGCTGCTGCAAGGGCTGGCCACATACTGTGAGGTGCTCCCTGCTCCAGAAGGTGAGGCCCAAGGTGCTGCCTCTATTTCCCCATACGTCCCTCCACATAGAGGGAAAAGCACTGGAGTCATCCTGACGATTAGGGCTTTGTCAGTCTGAAACAGAGGTCTTATTTTCTTCCCCCAAGCACTGCAGTTACTGGGCTGCTAGTTCTGAGCTCTGTGGCTTTTGCTGCGTGCCTGCTCCTCCCCTGATCCATATTATCTCCTAGTTTCTTGTGGACAAAAACACCATTGTCAACATGGTCGACAAATCCCATAATATCCACCTGCTGAAGATCAGCATGCGAGAGTGTGACATCCTCCTCAACATGTATCGCTGGGAGGCCTCTGTGAAAGAGAAGGTAAGGGACCTTCATGCTCACATGGGGGTGGGTTACAGATGGGTCTGCCCCAGGTGGCAGGGACACCGCTAGGAAAGCTGCTTCCCAGCCTTTGCTGGAGACCTCTGTGCTGCAGCCAGGACCCCAACAAGCCTGCGGGTTCACTACTTGGGTTCAATTTATTCAGGCTCTTCAAGATGAGATTGACAGAAACCGCAACCGTATCAAAGAGATTTTTCAGTACATCGATGATCTCCAGGAGCAGCTGGATAACACACAGATTCCAGAGCTCATGGAGTAGGTCTGCCATGGGCCAGGCAGCTGCCTTATCTGGGTGCACACAGCAGCAAAACACTCAGCAAGGACACTGCCCCTCTGTGCCTGTGCTGTCTGGAACATTTCAGGCCAAAGGCCTGCTTCCATCCTGCCACAGTCAGCAAATAAAAGATACTTATTGTTTCTGTAAAAGCACACGGAGCTTTGTCTCTTCCATCACATTGGCATGAAGCCCATCCCGAGTTCAGACCTGGTCACAAGGGGTTATGGCTCAGCTGTGAGCTAATTGAACCAAATCATCATAGCACATCATGCCTGAAAGCTTTAGTACCTGCAAGCACAGAGGCAGGAACCTGTGAGCCACAGGCACATGGCAGCAGCCGGGGAGAGGAGCGCTCTCCATCAAACCCCTCCCAGAATAACAGCAGGTTTCTAGCTCAGCAAGCACAAGGCTGTGGCTGGGGCTCTGTGTGCCTAGCAGCCTTGTCTCGTCACTGCCTCTTGCAAAAGCAGCTTTCTGCAGCGTGAGCAGAGCAGCCCCCAGCTAGCAGGAAAGGAAATCAATGGTTCCACAGGAACTCACACACTGCCGCTCGCAACAGCCGAGCGAGGAGTCATTAATTCCCCTCCTTGCTCAGTGACAGCAGCTGCTGCACTCACTTGTGGGCAGCTTCTGAGGAATGATGCTGGCCAGGGCGGTACTGCTAGAGGCAAGCAGCAAGGAGAAAGGTGGGAAGGTTAAATGAAAGGGTGGCTGCACATGCACTCTGGGGAGAGACCAGGTCTCCTGAAAGCCCTTCAGCTGGTGCTGCCTGATGTACAGATTTAGCTCCGAGTGCCTTATGCTTTTGGAGATGGCTGCAGCCCAGGTTTCCCCCTCCCTGCTGCTCCTTGGCTGCTAGGACAGGGCACCTAGCACAGAGAGACTCACACAGAGACACGGAGAGAGCTAATCCATCTGATAGCTAGTGCCTGCTCAGCTCTGCTCGGTGACTTTCTGCCTACAGCCATTCCCCCACCTGCACAGAGCCCAGCAGCTCAGAATCTACACCACGGCTTGACAATTAAAACAAAGAAATACTCAGCAACATTAGCTTTCAGTATCTTGCAGAGGCGTGCCTTTAATCAAACAGAGAGACCCTGGTGTTACATACAGGCACACTGAGGGATGAAGAACAGATGCAACGGAGTCTGTTTTCAGATTTCCATAACAAGTGTGTGTCAGGAGCTGGCAGCTATGAAGACATGTGGCATATGCTAGGTGTGTCTGTGCTGTGCCCTGCCCAGGAAGCTGTTTCTTTCAAGGGAGCTCCTCTCATGAATTACAGACACTGGTAATGGACAATGCTGCTGCCTTGAAAACGCAGAGGGAGCTCACCTTGACCTTTCCTCCTCGTGGGCTCAAAACTGCTGGCGCTGCACTGCAGCAACGAGCTGCCCATAAAGCTGCAGTTCCTCAGCACAAGGCTGATCCCAGACAAGCTGTGGTGGCAGAATGGTGGTTACCCTCTCTGGGTCATGGCAGCAATTCATTGGCATCTTCCTCCTCCACCCAGTCCCGCAGCCTTAGTCCCGCAACAGCTTGTGTTTTACAGTCGAGCTCTCTGAACAGAGATGAACAAAGAGAGTCCCAGCTGCTGCACGAGCACGCAGCTCACACAGATCATAGTCGTGGGCCCACTCCACATTGCCCCACCGCTGAATCTGAAGGAGAGGAGGAACACGAGTCAGTTCAGAACTGGATTACAGACCGAGCTGCTAGGCAACTCAGCCTCCTTTCTCATGTCTTGGAAACACAGACAGCCCTCCAGGAGCTGTGCTGACTGCGCACTACTAGGGTAGGGAGATCTCTGGATGAATATGGTGGAAGGACATGCTTCCTCTGTACTGAGCTCTGAAGCAAAACCCCTTAAAAAGGGAGGATGAAAATACTCTCACCAACTTCAGCTGTTTTGGGTCAGGGAGAGCTTCACACCAGGCCAGATTCCAGCTTGTGATCTCACAGGAAACAATTTAATAATAGTTTGGTGTCTAGCAAGGCCTCCGGGCTGGAAAACCCACAGTAAGAGAAGCCATCCATGGCTTTGCACTTCAGATTAGAGAGGGAGAAAAGCAGCCACCTGGGTTCTGCAAAACGAAACTGGCAGCCCCAAGAGCACCCTGGGCTGTTGCATCTATCATGTTGCTCTACAGCAGCGTGCTCCAGACTAGTGGAGTGGAACCTCTCTGGTAATAGCAGGCACTTCCCCCGCCAGTTATTTGTGGTGGGGGGGTGCATTTGTCATGCTGAGATTATTGCTATTTGAATTATAGGGTTGCTCTGTAACATAATTTACCTGGTATTCTTCCTCCAGCCGAGACAGAAGCACGGCTTTCTCTACTGTAATGTGCCTGTCAATCAGGCCCATGGACAGAATCAGAGATTTCAGCTGGGTGATTACATATTCTATACCTGGAAGGGAAAAATCCAAAACAAACAACATTCATGGTTGTTTTCCGCAGCATTACAGCAGCATCTTCCCATGCTCTGAAAGGACAGTCAGGCTGTGGTCCCCCCTCAGGCAGATCACAGTGATGCCTCCCCGCTCCCATCTGGGCTCCTAACAGCCAGATGTGCAATTAACAGCACAATACTGCTCTCCTGAACACCATCACCGCAGTGACCTCAATGCTCAGATCACCTCTGGCCATATCAGCAGGAGGGAAAAACATTACAGTCTCTCCTCTCTCTCATTGAGAGGAGCTCTCCTGCCCTTGTGCAGCCCACACAGCCTCTCACCTTGCAGAGCCCACATGTTGTAGGAGGCCAGGTGGCTGATGAAGGTGTCCCTGGTGCTGGCTGGGATGTTTGGTCCCATGATGCTGGTAGAGGATCCAATTGCCACGTTGTACCTGACACGATCACATGGCCCTTTAGAAAAGCTCGTGGATCTTGCAGTTCTGAGTCACGAGCACTACAGCTATGGGCCTTCAGAAATAGCTTTAACCTCTCACCTTTTCTCAGCCCAGGCAACAATGGGATCCCATTCTTTCTTCTGCAGCTCTGCCAAGGCAGCTGGCTCCTCCACACGATAGCTGGAACATTGCACAACAAAGCCACGTGGGTGTTCACTCACAAGCTGTCAGACTGCTCCCAGCCAGACTACAGCACTCCTGGGAAGGAAGTCTGTGCCCTCCATAGACCACAGCATGGGGAGCATAGGCTTCTTGTCCACCCTACCAGCAGCTGTGACTGGGTACAATCCCTCCTCTCTTCCCCAAATTCAGAGCTTTTTATTGTTCTAGAAAGGACAGTTCTATGCAGCTCTATAACAGAGCTACAATCCGTACAACACAAGCCAGCAGATTACCTGAAACTGGCCAGAGTATGCAGCAAGATTTAGTGATGAGAGCATGGGACAAATCCCACAGGGCCCCTCCTGCTGCCTCACATGCCCAGTGGCTCGGCTCAGCACTCACCAGCCACCACCCAGACCAGCCCAACGCCATAAAGTCACAAACAAAGAGCAAGGTGTTTCCCTTTCTTTTCAGGAGCAGAGCAGTTGCTAGTGGACACCTCAGAGGCTGGGACTGTGAGATATGAGCTTGGGTAGGCTGGATTCTACAACCCACAAGAGCTTTAAAGAGCAAAGTCCATTTTGCTACTAGTACAGGTAATCTAAGCTCCCTACGCCTTTATGGTACAGGAGTGCCAGGGCACTGGGATGACATTCTCCCAAGCCTTTCTTAGCTTTTCTGCCAAGGAAATCCTCGTTTCTAGCAGCTCCTGCCCCCTGCCCAACACGGACATCTCCAAAACAAATTTCAACAGAGGAGCAGATCTCTGTTCTCCTTCATATCTATGCCCTTTAAATGCATGAAGTTCCACTAGATTTGTGGACATAGGACTGGACTAAACTAATCCAAACCCCTGGGCCAAAGCCAGGACAGACCAGGGCCCTGCAATGACTTTGTTAGACCAGACATTTTCCCTCAGTTCTCTCAACCTCTCTTCCAAAAAACCACTCAGCAACAAGACAACCCCTCCTCTGTGCCAGTGCATCCCACATTCTCTTACCAGAGAGTGTCAGTCTCCAGGAACTTCACAGCTGCACGGATCAGCTGCACTTTGTTTCGCTGAGTGGGATTGTCCAGAGCTGTGTTGCACAGTGTGGTCTGCAGGATAAAGGCAGCTGAAATCCCTGGTATCCAAGGCTTGAGGAAGCAGCAGCTTCCATTGTACTAGGTCAAGCATAAGCAGAAGAATCTGGGACAGACTCCCAGAATCAAGAAGCTCACTTAAGAGGGAAATGTAGAGCCAGACCATGGCTCATATAATAGGATTTATCCAGCTTCCTCATACCCCTTGCTGTCTCCAGAAATGCTCTCGAGCCCCTTCTCAAACTCCCCAGTGACACAAGTTTCCTTCCCAGTCCTCTAGCCAGTACCCAGCTGCCTGTACAGCCTCAAGTTGTCCAGAGTGCTCAGCCAAGGTGCTGAACTCCTGTTCCCACTTCAACTGACATTAGGACAGCCTGCTCTCTCTGTGTTCTGCCTCTGGAGACCATTTTTGTGCTTCAACACTCTGACCTGCTGTGCTCACCAGGTGCATAGTGTAGAACTTGATGGTGTCTTTCTGAGAGTCCCATTCTGTTGCCACTGCAATGGCTAAGGCCTCACTGGGGACAGTGAAGAGCTTGGCCTGGGGTGTTTTCAGCTTCCGGTGGTCCAGGTTGATTTCAAAGCCTCCTGGGGAATCAGAGTAGAAATCCTGGGGAATTAAAAAGGAGCACGCACTAAGGAACAACAGACTACCCCATAGAGGGAACAAGCTGAGAGCTGGAGCTGAAAGGGGCACGGAATCAGCAAGTTTCCAACCATCATCAGCATTTTGACATTGCCCTTCCCCCAAATGATGCTGGAAACTTTCCCACCACCACGTGGTTTTACTACAAATGACAAAAGGACAAAGCATGCTGGTGACAAACAGCCCATTTGCACAACAGGGCCTGCAGGCGTGCCACTGCCTTGTGGTGAAAACTCCCTGCATGAGTACCAGCCCTCACCTGCACTCACCTTCTCCTTGTGAGATGCTCACATTCTGGTAAAACCGCTTCCTCTCTGGGGGTTGAAAACAGAGCAGTTGAAAGGGCAGTGAGAAGAGGTTTGGTCCCCTTCCCTTCTCCCAGTCACAGGTCAGAACACAGGGAGCC